GCTCATAGCAACACCAGGGACCACACAAGCCACGTGCAATTTGCACACTGGCAAGACTGGAAAACATGCGCAGATGTTCTAGGAGAGTCCAAGAGAGCTGGGGAAGGCTGGTGCAGGGCGGTTTGCACCCAACCAGAATTTAGCCCTGACCTAGGAAGCCCCGGCCAGCCCAGCAGGAAAGCAAGAGCTGCGCAAGCAGGATTTCCTGGGCCAGGCTGATCGCTGCCAGGGATCACACCGACTGAGCGGAGGCTGCTCACCGCAGCACATGCAAGGCCTTTGCTGATAGAACTAGAACTTGACTTCTACAAAGAAGCATCTTTGAAAAACTCTCATTTTTTCTTGCAATAGCACTCCAGAAAACCCAAGGTGATAGTATTTATTCTGTTAATTAAGAAATAAACAGGAAGGCTATAGTGGGAACCTGAACACCCTCCTCTTGCACCGCGCCTTCTGTGTAAGGTCACCTGCAAGGAATCCTTCCCTCAAGAAGCCACTCGCTAGCCCTTTTCACAGTCAAGTTAGGTGCAAAGCCACAAAACAAACATCGGCAGAAAGCAGCTACAGTGACACGGGAGAAAAAGGGAAACTTTCACAGCACACCCAAAACAACTACGCTGGGGTCTCTTATTAAGACATACGAGCCTGCTCTCAGCATCTACTATTGCATGACTGTAGCAGCCACCACAAGAAAAACAGCATTTATGAACCTACACATCAGTCCATGAAAAGAACGGACTCCTCCGTACCTGTTCCAGCAACGCGCAAAAGCTAGCCAGACGGCTAGTGCAGGCTGCAGAAGGAGGTAGCGTGGCCACTGACATCCACGTTCTACCTTGGACTATGGAAGTGATCCTGCAACTGCAGTGACAGGGTCTGGCATCGCTCTGGTTGGCCAGGTTATCCGGCAGAACACACCTCGGGCATTCATGCCAACGAGGTCTTGTTTATTTGGAAAAGTCAGAGTGCCAGAAGACTCTATGACTTTCCCATCAAAGCAGGCACACAGTTCTGTAATTGACTCTTTAAACTCAGAATGGTGTATCTTTTAAAAGTATTAGGTATTATAGTAAATTAGTATTAGAATAATTTAATGAAATGCGCGAAAATATCTACCAGAAAAAATGGGCTGCTTTAGGCTAAAATAAAGAGGGTTTAAAAAAAAGCAAAAAAAGATGGTGAAAGTTGGGGAAATTGTTTCACATTACTGAGATGCATAAAAATTCAAAAGTAATCGCTTCTTACAAGAAAAAGAGATTAACTAGCCATCTGTTTTTAGAACAGTACAATTTAGCTCTGTATTTAAAAAAAAACAAACTTCAGTGAGAAGAAGTATGACAGCTCTGGAGTACTGCAAATCTGAAATAGCTTTGGGAATCGCACTGATGTGAGTGGAGCTGACTGAACCCAAAGCCACAACCAAGGAGGAACGTACAGAAACAGGGCAGAGAACGATACGAGATCGGCTTGTCCTTCTCATTTGTGCTTTCACAAGTCACAGTTACCGCTAAGGGCCACCATGGGTGTGAAGCACAGGTCAGACGAATTCACTCCCACAAACACTAATCATTCAAATGTTTCTTGGTGTCATGCTGGGTCAGGGCGCTGATGCTGAAACCCCCAAATAAAGCTGCAAGTCAGGAGAAATGATCCAGTTCTGCGTCACTGCAGTGGATACAGAGATGCCTGGTTGGGAGGTGACACAGATAATGTGGTATGGAGCGCTCTCCTCTTTGTGGGCAAGTTTTGAGATGTCTAAACTGGTGTTTTCTTTGTAAGAACACAGTTTAATTTTTTTAGCCAAAATCTATGCTTGCAGAAGGCTCTGTGAGTAGAGGGGATTGTTTTTAAATGATGACAAAGAAATAAGGAATGATACAGGTAACAGTAAATCACATCTTCAGTAAGTAACATTCTTGCTCTTCTGTCTACAGGATGTTTCTCAGGCATGCTACAGACTGCTTGCCACAGGACAAGAGAAATGGAGACATGCATTTTAAAAATCAAATTTTTAACTTTCAAATGAAATATATTGCTTGCCTTGCACTTGTGAATGAATCTTAAAATGGTAACAGAAAAAAATCTCTTTAAATATAGTAGGACTTTTTTTAAGGTACAGAAATATTATCATCACATGCGTACTGTTTACAGGCACTACAGACTTGAGAAAGGAATACTTTTTAGCCAGTGATATTTGTGGGATGCAGCAATACCCTGACCGACCTCACGGAGTTCCATCTGCAGAAGATGGGATACCTTTTCACGGCTAGATCTATTAACCTCTAGAAGCCGCTGACCAGGAGATGTCCTGTGACCCCAAGCCTCTGACTTCTCATTTGTGAAATAAGCAGTAATTCTAGTTCCAACCCCCTTCTGTTAGAATTGATAAACTCGGATTAACGTGTGAAAGATGTCCAGTGACAGACAAGTTTTACAGTCACTGTGCTGATTAAAGAAACTGTGTCCTGTCCAAGCCGTTAAAATCATCCCAGATGGGGAGATGGCGCCTCTCTCCCTCCACTGCGAGTTTCTCCAGAGAAACTGGAGAGGAAGAAATTAAGATGGTCAGAGCACTTTGCCACCAAATAAATTATAAAGGTGCCAAATATTAAAAGTGTAAAATTATTTTGACTGGACTACCAACTGTAATTTTAGGTGTAATTTGCAATAACAAGTTGAGAAAAACCTCATTCTAAGCTGAGTACCATTCCACAGTACTTCCTTCAAAATATAAAGCAACAATAACAATGCCACATTTTAAAAGAACACTATTAATTTTATTTTTAAATAAAAATAGGTTACAAAAGCTTGAGACAGAAAATCTTTTATTACTATGTCTCAAATGCTGTGGGAAAATTCTTCTTAGAGCTATTGAGTTCCTCAAATTGTTACATTTATAACCATCCTTTCCAAAATGCTGCTTTAACATTTTGAAGTTGACAAAAATGAAAGTTATATAGTGGGTAGCTCCATGTCATTGTTTAATCTGCATAAAAGATTTTGCTTTGTCCTGCTTTTAAGCAATTACTTAATTACTGTAATTTTGACGTCAGGGCAAGAAGCTGCATGAATGCATTTCAGAAAGGTCCCGTTTTCAATACAAATTCACAACACGGCATACTTTCCATTCCTAACTTCTCAATTACTCTTTATATGCTGCCAAGACGACGACTACTGATATTACAGAATTACTGAATTATTCCACATAAAGAAGAAAGAGGGAAAAAAACCCCACAGGGTAAAAAAAAAAATAATAAAAAAAATAGATCAGCAGCTAATAAAAGCTTTCCCCAGCATCCCAGCTCTAACCGTGCTACAGACTTTTGTAACAAGTCACCGTTAGAAGGCTGCTCAGTACAATAGATCTATTTTTTTTTCCATATCGATTTGTATATTCAGATCAAGCCTGAAAGGACGGCTCAGAGCTGTGCGAGCAGGGTATCCTGCCAGGCGGTGATGCTACGGAAGGCACTGCGCTGGCAAAACGCCGGGGTGGCAATCCCCTGCCCGCACGCCGGAGGGGTTGGTAGTGCCTTCGGACCAGGCTCATGGCTAGGCAGTGCTACGCAGAAGAGAAATAAACAGCAACAGTTTTAAGCCAAAGTTTCTTGACTGAAGGAGGTATCTCTATTTTTTACTCAGTCAGAAAAGTAAACATATTCAGTGTTAGCAATTTTCAGGATGGATGAGTAAAATGCAAATTAAAAATTAAAAAATTAGAACAACAGTTATTGTTTTTTTATCATCCCATCTGTTGTTTCCTGTTTTCTCATGTAGCATCTATCACTACCTACATGGCAAATCCTCCCTTTGCCATAACGTTGTAGCTTAGGAAGACAAAAAAACAAACTAGAAACGCATAGCCTATGATTTTCAGTAGACCATACTTCAGTATTATCGCAACCAATTCTTCCCCAGTAACTCCCAAACATGTCTTCCAGAACATCTGAACTTTCTGCTTCCACATATTTTAACTAAAAACCAAACCAAACAAAAAAACCCCAGTATTTTCATAATGAGTAGTATTCTCATATTCCAAAACAGACAAATTACCCTTGCTCAAACTTTCCAAAAACAAAATCCACTTTTGGGAGCACTTAGGCTGGCGGGGGGGAGAAGAAAAAAAAAATCATTCCAAAAGCCAAGAGTTTGGAAAAAACTGAGTTATAAAGCAGAGGTATAGAATGGAAACTTGCGCAGCCAGAGCCGTTGGAGCCACCGGCCCTCCACTTCAAACACCAGCTGCCCTTGGATTTTGTGTTACAGAAATCTGCGACTGTTGGGAGAGCAAATCCTCCAGTAAACAGTGTATCTGCATGAGGAAGAAGTTTATATTTGACATCATCCCTGACAAGTGGCCAACACAGAACGATCCACGGGCAGCCAAGAAGTGCAGGCATGAAAAGTAAACCGAACGGATTTAAATAAAGATCCCTTCACTGTTCACAGATTTTTTGATGTTTTTTTTCTTTTGGTGCACGTTAGCGGTCTTACTAATGAAAAAGTGATTTCTCATCTTTTGACAAATTGAAACAAAAAAATGGCAATCAGCAACTAAACAGAGTAGTTACATCAGACTTGTTATATCC